GAGAGAAATTCGAGAAACGAACGTGTCCTTGAAACAAAAGGTCATACTCCGATGTTTAATGATAATTCGCGATCTGTTTTTAATTTTGTATGTGACTATGATCCATAGGGACTGAAATTGAAAAGGTAAACCGCAGACGTTGAACCAACAAAATGGTGGAAGGGGGCAATGGAACAGGGAAGAACGAGAGAGAAATTCGAGAAACGAACGTGTCCTTGAAACAAAAGGTCATACTCCGACGATAATTCGTGATCTGATTTTAATTTTGTATGTGACTATGATCCATAGGGACTGAAGTTGCAAAACGACACGCTGCGATTAGTATGCCCTACGTCGAAATATAAATATCGGCAAGGAAAAGGGGGAAAACACAACAAGGAAAGAATATGTGGGAGGTTTCTATCAGGCCAGATTAGAACTCTAATCAAAATGAATTAAAAACGTCAAGTGACAAGACGACGATGATAAAAAATATTTGTATGTTGTGACAATATATCGATACTCGTAAAAAAAAGAGTGCTATTTATACGATTAAATACTTACACAATTAAAAATCTAGATTACCTTTCTTACTTACAATGTCCTATCTACCATTTTGTCATATTTTTCCAAGGTATTCTTGAAAATATATCTCTGGAATTTCTCCGAAATACTTGAAATTCTTCATGTTCTTTTTTAAATGAAATTATTTCATATCAGCTGAAACTTAAATATTTCCAATCGAACAAAGAGAAAATAGTAATACAGGGGAAATAGTAATACTTTTCCTCTAATTTTAAAATGATATTATATTAATGATATTATATCTACCAGATAGGATACTTTAATCGATAATATATCTATACATGTGTACACGTGGCTAATAAATTATACTCTGTCCATAACAGGATATTTAACGAATTTTTTCCTTATTCATTGACACGTTTTATGCAAGTGTTTCATTTGCAGTTTCTCATTTGCACGTTAAGTGGAAATTCATACGAAAGAGACCGTTAGGCGAATAATAACATTAAATTAAAAGCCCGTTTCGAGGATAAGAAATTATAGGAAGTTAGGAAAAGTGAAAATAAGAAGTAAAGAGATAAAAAATGCATGCATGCATAATGCATAATGTGTCTCTCGCGTCTCATTAACGATCATTTCTTATTGATCGAAATTCTTATTGATCGAAATAACGCATAAAATTTTTGTCTCTTTGTAACAATTCCTTGTTTAAATACCAGCAGACGCAGCATCAGTAATTTTATCTTATCTAACATGATAGACGGAAAATCCAAACATAAAAGCCAAAAACTACCAATAATGATCATATCGGCAGGCAGAATCGTTGATTCGCCGTAAAGATAACGAGAAAGCGATTGCTGGCTTATTTCGCTCTTCGTAGATCCAAATAGTCTTAATTGCTATAATCCTGTCTTATATGCGGAGCCAGTTATTTTCCTTACGTCGGTCAACCTTCTCTACTGTTTCACATAAAACCAGTCAATGTTACATAAAATCTCCCTTCAACCAGATTCCTTGGCTTTTATTTTTACCTCGCGTTCGAAAAATTTTATTCGCAAACTTTTGTAATTCTCTATCACTCGACATTTTATACGTTGCATTATTTTGCTTAGTTTCT